AGGAAGGGAGAGAGATAGAGAGTTAGAAACATCGATGAGAGAGCAACATCGATCAGTTGCCTCTTGCACATCTCCTACTGGGGATATGCCCACAACCCAGGTACATGCCCTTGACCGGAATCGAACCTGGGACCCCTCAGTCCGCAGGCCGACGCTCTATCCACTGAGCCAAACCGGTTTTGGCCAAAAGTAATCTTTTTGTTGTACACAATGAATAGCAGAAATTTAGGATTTGATGTTTGTAGTTTACATAACATTCTATATAACTAGGTATTTAATAGGCATTGAAACTTATTTTCTATCTTTTCCCTATTCCCCAGTGCTGACCTTGTCACCTTGAACAAGCTTGTGTTGTTACAGGTCTCAGTGTCACTTGAGGATGTGACTGTGAACTTCAGCAGGGAGGAGTGGCAGCAATTGAACTCTACTCAGAGACGCCTGTACCAGGAGGTGATGCTAGAGAACTACAGCCACCTGCTCTCAGTGGGTAAGCACTGATACCCCATGAATCCAGTGAGGAGACAATTGTGGGTAAAATTATATCTCCCAAATAAAATACATTGAAGTCCTAACCCTCAGTATCTCAGAATGTGACCTTATTTGGAAAGAGGGTCTTTTTAAAATATATATATATTATTGATTTTTGAAAGGAAAGGAGACAGGGAGAGAGAAACATCAATGATGAGAGAGAATCATTGATTGGCTGCCTCCTGCACGCCACCCACTGGGGATCAAGCCCGCAACCCAGGCATGTGCCCTTGGCTGGAATCGAACCCGGGACCCCTCAGTCCGCAGGCTGACGCTCTATCCATTGAGCCAAACCAGCTAGGGCAGAAAGAGGGTCGTTACCAAAGTAATCAAGCTAAAATGAGTTTATTAGGGTGGGTCCTAATCCACTGTGACTGGTGTCCTTATAAAAAAGGGAAATTTGCCGAAGCCGGTTTGGCTCAGTGGATAGAGTGTCGGCCTGCGGACTGAGGTGTCCCAGGTTCGATTCCGGTCAAGGGCATGTACCTGGGTTGCGGGCACATCCCCAGTAGGAGATGTGCAGGAGGCAGCTGATCGATGTTTCTCTCTCATCGATGTTTCTAACACTCTATCTCTCTCCCTTCCTCTCTGTAAAAAATCAATAAAATATATTTTTTTTTAAAAAAGGGAAATTTAAACACAGAGACAGACACACACAGACAGAGAAGACAATGTGAAGACACACAAGGAAAAGATGAACATGTGATTGGAGTGATGCATCTATAAGCCGAGAAATGCCGAGACCACCAGAAACCAGGAGAGAGGCATGAGACAGCTCCTTCCCTAACACCTTCAAAAGGAGCATGGATAGTCCTGTTGACACTTGGATTTTGGACTCATAGTCAAGTGTCACCCATAACTGATTTGGGTGATTTAGATGATGATATCTGAGACTCTGAGTTTATGATTTTAGACTTAAGAGTTGATGCTAGAATGATTAAGACTTTAGGGGACATTGGGATGGAATTAGTGTATTTTCAACATGGGAAGAATATTAATTTGGGGGGTTCAGAGGGCAAGCTCTGATGGGTTGAATTGTGTCCCCCCACAAAAAAGATATGTGGAAGTCTTAACCCCTAATACCTCAGAATATGACTGTATTTGGGAATAGGGTCTTCATAGAGGTAATCAGGTAAAATGACGTCATGAGGGTGGGCCCTAATCTAATATAGCTGGCATCCTTCTAAAAAAAAGAGCCCAGAAATCAATACTCATAGAGGGAAGATGATGAGAAAACACAATAGATTGATGCATTTATAACCTAAGGAATCCCAAAGATTGCCAGCAAACACCGGAAGCTAGAAGATGCAAGGAAGGATTCTCCCTCCTATCATCCAGAGAGAACATGACCCTGCTAACACCTTGATTTCAGAATTCTAGCCTAAAGAAGTAGGAGACAGTAAATTTCTGTGGTTTTAAGTCAGCCAGTTATTGGTACTTTGTTAAAGCAGCCCAAGGAAACTAAGACAGAACCATTTCCATTCCCAGTTGCTGAGTGCTCTGGGATATCTTAAGTGCATGCTGATATAATCCCTGATTGGTCTGAGATTCTTCAGTCCCTTTCACCTCTGTGATTATTAGTGTTTCCCCAGTCAAATGTGTTTTCTTTTCTAATGAACAAATGGAAAACAATTAGCTGGACCCAGTTCTCTATTATGTCCTATTAACAGGGTATGAAGTTCCCAAACCAGAGGTCATCTTCAAGTTGGAGCAAGGAGAGGAGCCATGGATATTGGAGGGAGAAACCCCACATCAGAGTTGTTCAGGTCAGTGAGTGTGATCCAGGCAGAAAGGAGACATCTAAATACTTCCCCCCCCTCTCCCCCCCCCCCCCAGAGAGGTTGGTGTCTTTGCTGCCTTCTTGAAGGTTTAAATTTTAGAAACTGCTTGAAAATAAATAACATAGGCCTCTCAGGTACCAAATTGCTCTGTCTTTATTTTCTGCATTGTCATCAGCTGTTTTCTTTGGGGTTTCCTCCAGAATTGCCGCAATTCCCACACTTTAGATCATATGCCAGCCTTCTTCACTATGGATGTTGCTTTCTTGGATATTCTTTTCTTCCATCACATTTTATGCTTCATTATTTAATCCCAACCCCAGGGTCTTAGAATCTTATCATATACATTCAGGTTTTAATGGATTTAGTTGGTTGCCTCACTCCTATTTTTCCCAGTACCCTTTTATTTCCTTCTTCTTTCACTTTTGTCTTCTCATTCTAAGATACCAATAAACTGTCCTGCAACCAGCCTCACCTCCTCTCTTTGTATTTATCACCTGCAGATTCCTCACTCATCTCCACCTCACCTACTCCATGCCTCTCTTCCATATTCTGACTGTGGTTAGTCACATATCATTTTTTTTCTTTTAAAATCTACTTTTTTTCTTTTCATTGAATTTATTGGGGTGACACTGGTTAACAAAATTATACAGATTTCAGGTGCACAATTCCACAACACATCATCTGTATACTATGTTGTTTGTTCACCACCCCAAGTCAGGTCTCCTTCCATCACCATTTATCCTCCTTATACGCTCTTCTACCCCCCCCCCCCCCCAGCAATAAGCACACTGTTGTCCATATCCATGAGCTTTTTCTCTCTTTTTTATTTTTGCTCAATTCCTCCATCCCCAACCCTCCCCCCAACAACTATCAGCCTGCTCTTTATCTATGAATGTGTCTCTATTTTACTTGTTATTTCATTTTGTTCATTAGATTCCACTTATTAAAGTATAATTTACATACACTAAAGTGTATCCATTTTAAGTATATAGCTTGATGAGTTTTGACAAGGTACACACTAGTATAACCACTACCCCTATCATAATATATAACATTCCATCACACAGAAATGCTCCTTCATGTCCCTTGTAGTCAATGCTTATCACCACTTCAGCCCCAGGCAACTATTTTTTAAATAAATTTTAATATATTTTTATTGATTTCTGAGAGAAAGGGAGAGGAAGAGAGAGGGAGAGAGGGGAGGGGAGAGAGAGAGAGAGAGAGAGAGAGAGAGAGAGAGAGAGAGAGAGAGAGAGAGAGAGAGAGAGAGAGAGAGAGAGAGAGAGAGAGAGAGAGAGAGAGAGAGAGAGAGAGAGAGAGAGAGAGAGAAAGATCAATGATGAGAGAATCATTGGTTGGCTACCTCCCGCACGCCCCCTTACTGGGGATCGAGCCCGCAACCCAGGCATGTGCCCCTGACCGGAACCGAACCCAGGACCCCTCAGTCCCCAGGCCGACGCTCTATCCACTGAGCCAAACCATCCGGGACCCCAGGCAACTATTGACGTGCATTTTGTCACTATAGAATATATTTGTCTTTATTGTTTATATCAACAGGAATTATACTGTCTGCTCTTTGCATTCAGCATAATGATTTTGTGTTTTACCCATGTTATTGAGTATATCAGTAGTTTGTTTTTTTAAGATGCTGACTACTACTCCATGGTATACATATATGGCAATTTGTTATATCCCTGTTGATGACAGGGAGTTATTATTTGGTTATTATGAGCTGTAGTGATCATTTTAGTGTATCTTTGTGTGAACATATGTTTCTATTTCTCTTGGGTAAATACCTAGGAATGGAGTTGCCAGGTTATAAAATAGGTATATGCTTATCTTTATAAGAAATTGCTAAACTGTCTTGCAAAGTGGCTGTGCCTTTTTACATTTCCAACAACAATACCTGAGAATTCTTCTTGCCCCACATCCTCGCCAACACTTGCTGTCTGTCATCAGTCTCTTTAATTTTTACTACTGTAGTAGATATGTAATGGTATCTCATTATGATTTTAACTTGCATTCCTCTGGTGAATAATGATGTTAAATATCTTTTCATGTACTATTGACCATTTGTACATTTTTGTGTGAAGTGTCTAGTTACATATCTTCCTCATTTTATTGGGTTGTTTGTCTTCTAGGTTCCTTATAAGTAAATACTCATCACTTTAGGGACAGTTTTACTTCTTTCTGTCCAATCTTTTTATCTGTTTTCCTTTCCTTATTTCACTGTCTAAGACCTTCAGTTTGATGTTGAATGGGCATGCTTGCCTTGTTCCTGATATTAGGAGCAAAATATTCATATCATTACGTATGATGTTAGCTGTAGTTTTTTTTTAAGTTACCCTTTATCAGGTTACATAAGTTCCTTTCTAATCCTAGCTGGTTAAAGAGGTTTTTAACAAAAATCATAGTTAAGTGTTGAATTTTGTCAAATGCCTTAGTGATCATATGAGTTATTGTTTTTATTTTGTTAATATGGTAAATTTATTGATTGATTTCAAATGTTAAATTAACTTTGTATTTCTGAGACAAATATTGGTGATTATTATATACATCACCCTTATTATATATTGTTGGATTCTATTTTTATATTTTGTTTAAAAATATTTGCATGAGTGATACCGGTTTGTAGTTTTCTTTCTTTCTTCTTCTTTTTTTTTTTTTTGCAATATCTTTGTCGGGTTTTGATATTAGGGTTACACTTGGCCGCATAATATGAGTTGTGAATGAGTTCTCTATTTTCTGAAATAGTTTGTGTAAGATTGTTATTTCTTTTTATGCTGTTTCACAGAATTCACCAGCAAGAATTTCTGGGCCTGGAGTTTGCCAGATGGGAAAGTTTTAATAACTAGTTCAATTTCTTTAATATCCATAGGGCTCTTTCAATTTTCTATTTCATCTTTTGTCATACATAATAAGTTGTGGTTTTTTTCAAGGAATTTGTTTACTTTATTTTGTCTAATTTCATTCTGTTGTATTCTGAGAATACACTCTGTATGATTTCAGCAAATGGTCTATCTTTGGGAATGTTCCATGTGTCTCTGAAAAGAGTGTATATCCGGCTCTTAATGGGAGTTGTGTTTAATAGAAAACAATTACACGTGATGGAGAGTTGGAGTATAGACATCCATTTATTGTTTGTATAGGTCAAGATGCCTATCACCGCAATAATTTTCCTAGTGGCATAATGACTTGACTTACATACATTGTGAAATGATTACCACAATAAATTTAGTTAACACCTATATCATATAGATATCAAAAATAAAACATGTTCTTGTCCTTGTGATGAGAACTTTTAGGATATACTCCCTCAGGAAGTGAAATTGTTGTGTTTTCTTTTGATCTCATGAATTTGGTATTGTTGCTAATAGCAAGAAGCAACAAGATCAGTGAGGGTTTAGAATCTAAAGCTAATGAGGACTTAGACTTTGAGTCACCCCCTCCAAGCCTAGGGTCTCCATCAATATTTTTCCTGAAAATCCTTGTCTTTTTAATCTTCAGTCCACCCTACTTGATATTCAAGCCTCCTACCCAAATTGAGCTATAACCATGTTTTACAACAAATTATATGTATAAAACGATTCTGAGCTTTACTTTCCTTATCTACAATAGATAAATAATAATAGAAAATAGAACTTTGGAAAGGATTAAATGAGTTCATGTTTATATCTTAACAATGCCTGGAACATCACAAGTGTCGTGCAAGAGCTTGACACATAATAAGTGCTATATATATATTTCCTGTAATTAGTTTCATTGTCATCATTGGATTCACTGGTTTCTCTGTGTTCAATTTGGATTAGCTTATATGTATCTTTTAATCTTCTGCTATCTATTTGTGTCGATTTTACTTTTTTTTTCTCTTTTTAGATGGGAAGTTTGGGATTAAGACCTCACAAAAAAGAATTTCTGGGAAAGCTTCATTTCATAGTGAAATGGAGGGTGAAGATATAAGAGATGATTCATTGTATTCCATTTTAGAACTGTGGCAAGATGCTGAACAGATGAAAAGATATCCGGAAAAACACAGCCAACCTGTGAGTCATGCTACATTTCTAAATAAGAAAATATTGAATACGGAGTGGCATTATGAATATAAAGACAACAGAAAATTTGTTTCTCCAAGCCCCAATCATATTATTGCCTCACAGAAAAGTCCCCATAAATGTGACTCATTTGAAAAGGGTTTTAAGCATGATTTAGATTTATATATTCATTCTAAAAACAAAGCAACAAAGAACTTTGATAAAATTAATAGACACAGTCAAAATTTCACCCAGAGTTCTTTTACTAACCATGAAAGTATGCGTACAGGAGTGAAATTTTGTGAATGTAATCAGTGTGGAAAAGTCCTCAACCTCAAACAAGCACTCAGTCGCAATCTGAAGTTTCCTGTTGGGGAAAAAGGAAATATGTGTACTGAATTTAGGAAGATATTCACCCAGAAGTCACACCTCTTTGCATCTCAGAGAATACATACTATGGAAAAACCTCATGAACTTAGCAAATGTGCAAATGTTTTTACACAAAAGCCACTACTCAGCATATATTTGAGAGTTCATAGAGATGAAAAACTGTATGTATGTACTGAATGTGGGAAGGCTTTCATCCAGAATTCAGAATTAATTATGCATGAGAAAACTCATACTAGAGAAAAACCCTATACATGCAGTGAATGTGGAAAATCATTTTTCCAGGTGTCATCTCTACTTAGGCACCAGACAACCCATACTGGAGAGAAACTCTATGAATGCAGTGAATGTGGGAAAGGCTTCTCCCTGAACTCAGCTCTCAGTGTACATCAGAAAATTCATACTGGAGAGAGACACCACAAATGCAGTGAGTGTGGGAAAGCCTTTACCCAAAAATCAACACTTAGGATGCATCAGAGAATTCATACAGGAGAGAGATCCTATATTTGTACTGCATGTGGGCAGGCCTTCATCCAGAAGGCACACTTGATTGCACATCAAAGAATTCATACTGGAGAGAAGCCTTATGAATGCAGTGACTGTGAGAAATCTTTCCCTTCTAAGTCACAACTCCAGATGCATACACGAATTCATACAGGAGAGAAACCCTATATATGCACTGAGTGTGGGAAGGCCTTTACCAACAGGTCAAATCTCAATACTCACCAGAAATCTCATACTGGAGAGAAGTCTTATATATGTGCTGAATGTGGTAAAGCCTTCACGGACAGGTCAAATTTCAATAAGCACCAGACAATTCATACTGGAGAAAAACCCTATGTTTGTGGTCATTGTGGGAGGGCTTTTTTCCAGAAGTCCGAATTAATTACACATCAGAGAATTCATACTACAGAGAAGCCTTATAAATGTCCTGACTGTGAGAAATCCTTCTCCAAGAAACCACATCTCAAAGTACATCAACGAATTCACACAGGAGAAAAACCATATATATGTGCAGAATGTGGTAAAGCCTTCACTGACAGGTCAAATTTCAATAAACACCAGACAATTCATACTGGAGAAAAGCCCTATAAATGCAGTGACTGTGGAAAGGGCTTTACTCAGAAATCAGTTCTGAGTATGCATCGTAATATTCATACATGAAAGTAACCCTGTCTCTTAAAAATGAGAAAGCCTTATCACAGAAGTCAGGTATAAGGGTATATTATAAAATTCATCCAAGACAGACCCTATATGAATATATGACATAGTAAAAAGTATTTGTCAGGCTCTCTCACTTGAGGTAAAAAAAAATTATTTAGATGATATCCTCTTAGAATGCATTGAATGAAGGGGAATTTTCATATTTGCACAGCCTCACAAAATACAGGGTGTCTCAAAAATGTATACACACTTTGAGATATAATCAGTGTTTATTAACATACAGTTCATCTCCAAAATTTAAATGAATTTATAGAAATGAGTATGTATACATTTTGGGGACACCCTGTATAATAGAATTCATACTAGGAAAAATGATGTCAGTTTAATACATTAGGAGGAAAGCCTTCCTATTGTAAAGAAAGTATTATAAGGCAAATTGTTACCAAATTCTTTACAGATGGAGTGTGTAAAATTATGTAAATGTTAGTCATGTTTACTGTTATATTAAGCAATTTAAAGTGACAACAAAATGAAAAGTAGGACAACAAAATAACATATTTGATGTGTAGACCTACTCTCAGTTCTGTAGGTTGTTTGTGGCAGAACACAATGCACAGCAGGAGGAATCATTGATGTTCATTTTTTAAATTTAATATAATTGCATCTATTAAATATGTCTTCTATTGAATTTTTCTCTCACATGAATTCACAGTTTTATGGTCATTGTGATTTTATATATACACACATCTGAAGATATAATTTTACATGAACACACAAATGTAATCCTATCATTCATACTGGTTCCCATGACATTGTGCTTTTATCCTTTTTAATTATGGAACAATGCAAAAATGCCACAGGTCTCTCCTGTGATTTTTTGCCTGCCCCTTTGCAATGTTACTCTGTTTTTCCTCTTATTAAGAAGTAGAGCTCCCTCTCTACTCCTTGACTTGGCCATGTGATTTGTTTTGGCCACTGTACATTAGTGAAGAGATTCAAGAAATGGCTGAAGAAGTGTGAAAAAAGCTTACCTTGAGGCTTACTCTCTTGCTACTCTTTGGAATTCTAAGCCCTTCATATGAAGAAGCTCAGGTTACTCTACTGGGGGATGGGAAACCAGATTGAGCAAAGATGAGCCAGCCTAGCTGAGGCCCTTCAGGTCAACTACCAGACATGGGAGTGTGGCCTTCCTTGGTCTCCAACCCCAACCAATCCAGCCCATATAAGAAGAGCCATACCAGTTATCCCAGCGAACATGGAGAACTGTGAGATAAGTAAAATAATTATTGTCTTAAACTGCTAAGTTTTAGGGTACTTTGTTGCACAGCAAATCTAATAATACTTAAAAGTGTATGATCGGGGGGGAGAGGTGTATTGTACCAAAACACAAGATATGTGGCATTGACTTTGGACCTGGAGGAAAACTGTTAAGAAAGCCTGGAAAAGGTGGTGTTCCGTGTTATTTAGTAAAGAAAAAGCAAAAACAGTCCCCATGCTCTGTGGGAAAATAGAGAATGTATCAAATGAACTTGTGGATTTGGCTAAATAGATTTCCAACAGAATGCTGGAAGTTCGTTTATTTCTATGAACTCATATAATAAGGTAAAAAAGGAGATATGAACTAAGAGAATGACTATTCCATTTACAAGCAGAATTCAGAAGAAAAAAAAACCCTCTACTTGCTGGGTTAAAAAATAACTTTCACATCTCCAGTCTCCAAAATACTTTCAAAGTGAAAATGGCCTCAGGGTAGAGATCAAGTCATGAGTGCAGATTTTAAGACCCTTTGTAAAAATGCATGAAACATTTAAGTTGGTATTTGGGAGACCCTCTAAGCTAAGCTAAATGGCTTCTGTAGACTTCATGACATCGTCCCCAGTAGCCTGACACATTGCTCAAAGCAGAGAAATACAAACCAGATTCATAGGAAACATTTAAAGTTTTTAATAGAGTTTTACTAGTGAAACTGCCTCCAAGCTGGACTTGAAGGGACTGAAACAATCCAGAATGAAAAGTGGTGCCTGGACTCTCCTCTCTAGCTTCTATGAGTAGAAATGAAGCTGAGAAAGTTACTCGGCTGCAAACATGGGCCATTTCTAATGGGAAAAGGGGTCTCAGAGAGAAGACCCAAGAACAATATATTAAAATGGACTGGGAAGCCATTCCCAGATGAACTGTGACCTAATAAAAAACATCTACCCCTGAAGCAGGAAGACTTGAAAACATTTGTTCTGTAGGATTTCAAGAATTGTTATGGAACAGTGACAGATATGTGCCTCTTCTTTCTCCCCTTTTTGAATTGGAGTGTGTATTGCAGTTAATTCTGTTCCTATGTCACCATTATAGTGTGTGTGTGTGTGTGTGTGTGTGTGTGTGTGTGTGTGTGTGTGTGTGTGTGTGTGTGTGTGTGTGTGTGTGTGTGTGTGTGTGTGTGTGTGTGTGTGTGTGTGTGTGTGTGTGTGTGTGTGTATGTGTGTGTGTTGGGGGGGGGTCGTTCATATAACTTGTTATTTAGCTCCCAGGTCTCTAGATTAAGAAGCTGCACTCAGAGAGCATCAGCCACCTCTGAACCTGATACAGAAGACTTGAGGTCCTGGATTTGAACATGGTGCCACAATTTGGGATGAGACATTTGGAGGTCTTGGAATGGGGTGAACATATTGTTGCATGGTATGGAATGTAAATAAAATTATTTTTGACCAGAAAATAGACTATGTTAGCTTGAAAAACACTACAAATTTCTTGCACCCCTACATCTATGCCCCCTTGTAATCTTTATTTCTCTTTGTGTTTTAGTTGGGATAATTTCTATTAACCTATCATCAAGTTCACTGATTCTAACCCCTGTCCTGGCTCTGTTAAGTCTACTGGGTGAGCTCATTGAAGGCATTCTTCATCTCAGTTATGTTATCTGCTGAAATTTCCCATCTGTTCATGTCTGTTGTTCACATTTTCCACTATTTTCTTTAACATGTTAAAGTCATTGTTATTTTAAATTTCCTGTTTGATAATTCCAACAACTGTGTCACCTGAGTCTGACTCTGTTGATTGCTTTGTCTCTTGACAGAGTACCACAAACTAGGTGGCTTAAAAAAAACAGAAATTTATTGTCTCACGGTTCGGGAGGCCAGAAGTCTGAAATCAAGGTGTCAGGAACTGTTAGCTGCATCTCTTCAAGTTTTCAGTAGCCTCAGGCATTTCTTGGCTTGTAGATACATTACTTCCATCACTTGGTCATTTTCTCCCTATGTGTCTTCACATTGTGTTCCCTCTCTGTGTCTGTCTGTGTTTGACTTCCCCCTTTTTATAAAGATACCAGTCACATTAGATTGGGCCCACCCTAATGGCAATATTTTAATTTGATTACTCTGCAAAGATTTTCTTTCCAAATAAGGTCATATTCTGATGTACTGGGGGTTCGGATTTCAACATATCTTTTGTGGGGGGACATAATTCAACCCATATAATAAATTAATACATTTATCTGTATAAAGTACTTAGAACTATGTATGGAAAGAAGTTCTTGATGAATATTAGATACATCCCACTTTTTGAGGCTGCCTAGGTCCCCCTACAACTCTCTGTACTTGGGCAGGATTTGAGACCTTTGTTTGTGGTATCTTAACCTCATCCAACTACCTAAAGAAAATGTTTGGAATAACAGGAAAAGCAGGCCAAGTACCAAGACTTGTGCTACCAACATTTGAGAAGAATTTATTTATAGAGGACAGTGGGAAGGAGCAGCCAGAGGTTCATTTATATGAGGATGAAAAACTGGTTCTTGGATTTTGTGACAAGGAGGTCAGTGTTGACTTTGGTGAACATAATTTAAGTGAATTTAACTAAAGAAAACAACAGCAAAGTTGAAGGGATTTCTGAGCTCAGGTAGTTACTTCACCATCAAACTTTTCTGATAGAAAAAATATTAGGTATTGCTCTATTGAAAATGGGTTTTTAAGAATCCTGTTGGACTCCAGGTTAGAGTTGTCCAAAAGTAGAAATTGCAAGAGATTTAAGAGGTCACAGTGAAGGAGCAAACATCATTACTCTAAAAGTTTAAGATTAGATTCAGGGCTACAGATACGGGGTACCTAGAAGGTTTTAATTCTTCCTCACTCTCTTCCACTCTATTCAGCCCTTCCTTGCATCTCCCAGCCTGCTGACCAACAGTGGCCCAGGCCAACCACCAGATGCTTGGCTAAAGACCCACAAAGGCAAAGGCTTTTCTTAGACTTCTCCATTAGCTCCCCATTAATAATCTCACATCAGCAGCTGGATGTGCCTGGCTTCTGAGTTTCCTGCAAGCTCTGACTTATCTATCCATGCCAATGTTTCTCCCAACTCCCCCTTCCATACCTTAACTTCCTCAGCTACTCCCACATTTGTGTATGGCTTAATTCATGTAAAAATTCCTTATTCCATAATACTCATAGTGAATCCACTTAATTGAACCCTGATTGTTAATGTTATACTTTCTTTTCCTGAGAACTTGGTAAATGTTTCTCTTCTAAAATTTAGTGATGCTACTGAGAATTCTTAGACTAAACTGCTCTTTTTTTCCTTGTACCTTTCTGCCACATTCTTTTTTTATGCTTGAAGTTAGGGATCTTTAAAAACATATGCTTTGGTCTTTATTTTTGTTAATTTGATTTTACCTTGGTTACAGTAAACTGTACCAATCATGATTGAAACCTTTTATTTCAGGGAAGTTTTATTTTGCTGAAAATTTTTTTCTGATCTATTTTCCTCTTCAGGACATCAATTATGTATATGCAATATGTCTTTGTCACCTTCTATATCCATTTAATACTACTCAATATTTGTTTCATATCATTCTTTTTAAAAAATATATTTTTATTGATTTCAGAGATGAAGGGAGAGAGAGAGAAATAGAAACATCAATGATGAGAGAGAATAACTGATTGGCTGCCTCCTGCACGTCCACAACTGGAGATCAAGACCACAGCCCAGGCATGTGCCCTGACCTGGAATTGAACCATGACCTCCAGGTTCATAGGTCGATGCTCAATCACTGATCCATGAGGGTTGGGTAGTTTTTACATTTTTAAATGGTTGATAAATGAAGAGTAATATTTCATGACATGTAAAAAATTATATGAAATTCAAATTTCAGTACAATAAAGTTTTATTGGAACAGAGCCATGGATAGAAAGCAGGCTGACAGCTGTCAGGGTGGGGTAAGTGGAGGGATTGAGAAAATAAGAAAAAAGAAAAAACTCATGGACCAGGACAACAGTGTGGTGATTTCCCTGAGGGTGGGGGA